ATTTGACTTTTTTATTACAGTTTCTAGCCATGCAGCCTTTCTCTCTGGTTGTATTTCAGCTGTACCTTTTATAGTCTGAAAAAAATTAATCAAGTTAAAATCACTGAATTAAAAATGAAAAAAAAAAAAATGACTACATTTGAACTGTTAGAAGAAACACACATTAACTCATTTGAGCTTAGTAATTAGTACTGTAGCCTATAGCTTACATTTGATTTACCTATTACAATAGTCCACTTACAGTTACTGCTATCATAAAAATACACTTTATATGTAGGTTTAAAATTCTACAAAAGACACATTTAATGTCCAAAAACTTTTTTTTTTAGCAAAATGTATATTTGACTTTTTTAGCAGAATGTATATTATTGCGCTCCGTCTGTTTAGCGTGCATGTATATATTTATATATAGTTTAGTTCACAAACAGATTAATGGGCTGATATGGGATAGAAAGACAGCTCAAAATTAGTTGTATTAACTGAAGCTGGACTGGTAGACATTTCAGTGACTGAAACTGGACAGACGGATGGTTCAACAACAGACTCAATGACTAAATCAGGACTGACAGATAGTTCAAATTCAGATGCAACAGAAGCATTTAGACAGACAGACAGCTCAGGTTTAGATTCCTTGACAGAGACAGGCAAGACAGACAGTTCGAAATCAGAGACATTAGTTGAAACGAGACGGAGAGACAATTCACAATCAGCCACCATGGCTGGTTCAGAACAGGGAGAGGGTTCAGAGATGGCATCCTCAGCCAGTTCAGAATAGGACAAAAGTTCAAAAGCGGCTTCCGTAGCCGTGACAGGACAGGCAAAGAGCTCACAGACGGCCTCCATAGCCGTGACAGGACAGGCAGAGAGTTCACAGACAGCCTCCATAGCCGTGACAGGGCAGGACGAGGATTCACAGACGGCCTCCATAGCCGTGACAGGACAGGCAGAGAGTTCAAAGATGGCCTCCATAGCCATGACAGGGCAGGACGAGGATTCGAGACAGGACAAACAGGAAGTTCACAGGTGGATACTACTGACACCTCTGGAGATTCTGCAGCAGATGTGGCCACCGCTGGAGGTTCTACAGCAGTACCATCAGGAAATAGGGAGAGTTCATTAATATTCTCTTTAACAGGACAGGTACAGCGTTCATCAACAGTTCCTTCAACCGCGACATAATAGGCTGAGAGTGCATTGCTGGGCGCCACCACCGTACAAGGAGCTGAAGCGAGCGCCGCTGCCTCGGGAGGTTCTGCAGCACATGCCACCACCTCTGGTGAAGCTGCAGCGGGCGCCATCGCCTCTGGGGAAACAGCAGCGAACTCCACTACCTTGGGAGGTTCTGCAGCATCAGCCGTGGGCAGTGTATGCAGCCCAAACACTCCATAAAGTGTTCTCCATTATGGGAAGCGCTACAGACAGGGGAATCAGATCAGGAACAGGAGGGCTAGATTGAATGGATTTGGGGATACCAGCTGCGACTGCTGACACCAGTGGTGGATCCTCCACGCTGGATGCCATTCTGGGATACTGAAGACCTGACCTCGAAGATCTGAGTGCAACAAATGGGAAGTGACGAGACTTTGGACGATCAGCTGTGACGTGACGAAACTCTAGATGATCAGCTGTGACGTGACGCGACTCTGGAAGATCAGCTGTGATGTGACGTGACTCTGGATGAACAGCTGTGATGTGACGTGGCTCTGGACGAACAGCTGAGACGTGACGTGATTCTGGACGATCAGCTGTGACGTGACGATACTCTGGAAGATCAGCTGTGACGTGACGTGACTCTGGATGAATAGCTGAGACGTGACGTGACTCTGTACGAACTGCTGAGACGTGACGTGACTCTGGAAGATCAGCTGTGACTTGACTTGACTCATGACGATCAACTGTGACTTGACTTGACTCATGACGATCAGCTGTGACTTGACTTGACTCATGGATGGCAGCTGTGACATGACGGAGCATTGTTGTGGCCGCCATTTTGTGAATGGGCTCCGCTGTCGCCACCATTATGTAAGGGCGCTCCGGTGTGGCCACCATTTCACAAGCAGGTTGAATCACCGGAGTAGAGATCAGTAAACTCGAATGTCCCTGAGTTTGTGGCTGACTAGATTTCGCGGCCGCCATTACCGGCCCGATCGCGATATCGCGTTCCTTCTCCGCGACACCCACAGTGAATAGAGAGCCAACAGTCGACAAAGCAAAGTCCAAAAAACAACTCAGTGACAAATGCGGACCCTCGTGTCTAAGCTCAGATCGTAGAGGTTGATTAAGGCCATCACAAAAAAACTCTATCAAAAGATAGTCTGGTAGCTCAGAATAGTGTGCTATGGTTAAAAATTCATGAACATAGTTCTCCAGCGATCGCGGGCCTTGTCTAAGGGCTAAAAAAATTCTTGCCATGTCCATACCTGGCAAATGTTCCTCAGAAAAGCTGCTGGGTCCTTGTGGGGCAGAGTATTCTGTAACGGAGGCGACGAGACGAGAGACGTGCGGATCCATTTGCAGGCTTTTATTAAACAGAGACGTGGTCATAAGAGGCATGGGTCAAACAGTGGCAAACAGGTACATTTCAGGCAAGACAAAGAGTATTCCTAGGGCAAGCGTGGGTCTACAATCGGCGAAAAATATCCAGAGGGCTTGACACGAGGGGTTATCCAATAACACAAGCAATAGTCCAGGCAAGGTGCAAACACAGCCCGAAACAGCAAGCAAAGGGTTAATCCAAGATACACAGGCAGAAGATCAGGAAACAGACAACAAGGCAACACGACATTACTAGATTTAGACTAGAACTAGAAACGGAAACTAGGAATGGCTCCGTAATGTAGCTATCGCTAGAAGAGATCCACATAATCTTATGATATACGCTAAACAATACTCGGCAGTGAGAGAGAGGAAGTCCATGGCTTATAAAGCGTGTCTCATTGGATGCAGCTGTGTGTGTGTAATCAGTGCAATGGATGATGGGAAATGCAGTCCAGGGTGATGTGTAACAGTCTGTGTGGTGTGAGAGTCAATGTAATGGGAGAGCGACCTCTGGTGGCAATCAGCCAGAAGGCCACGGACCGGATTCGTGACAATTAGTGCTGTTGAACGATTAATCGTGATTAATCGCATCCAAAATAAAAGTTTTTGTTTGCATAATATATGTGTGTGTTCTGTGTATATTTATTATGTATATATTAATACACATACATACAGTATATATTTTGAAAATATTTACACGTATTTACATGACTATATTTATATTCATATAAATAAATATATTTAATATATAAACATTACATATTTTTCTGAAATATATACATGCATGTGTGTATTTATATATACATAATAAATATACACAGAAAACACATATTATGCAAACAAAAACACAAATAAGTACATAAATAATTATCTATTTCAAATGACAGCTTTGTTTCTTTTAACACTACACAGACCGACATGCATTTTGAGTTAACAGGATAAAATAAGACACAAACAGGCTACATTTTTTATCATTTTTATTTTCCAAAGCAATCTTAACAGCTATAAACATGAATTCTGCTGTCACAAAAAGTAATTTTACAATTTAACATAGTGGCAGTGATGTATGTCTTCATATGTGTACAAAACACACGCACAGATGAGCCTGTAAGGCCCTGCGCCCTTTATAGTGCTCTGCCCCGGGACACACTGACGCTCGCTTTCACTCTCCCCTGGTCTGTAATGAAGAGACACAGAGCGAACCATAATCCTTTACAGTGCTTTGTAAAAACCCTTGACCACAAACAAACCCCTGCTCCTGATTGGAGTGATGTATTATATAATAAGAAATTGATGCCAAAGATCACATTGAGAATGACAAAGCCGCTGCGGTGCCCTTCAGATAACCCCATAACCCATTCAATTTCTTTACTTCTCCCTCTCTTTCTCCCGCGGTCATTCTCTCTGTTAATCTAAGGTGAGTTATGAAGTCACTCTCTTCGCACCCCGAGCCCTATATAGGCAAACGGACATTGTATCAGTGCTTTAAGTACAGGTCGGGAGGAT